ACACTCTTATGTAATAAGGTCAGCTATTGATATGGCCTAATGGGGCATATATAAGCACAGTACATGGTACAGTAGAGAGTCCTACCCTATCTTGCACATCAAACCTTGCCAGTTTTCACTCGATTTCTCAACCATAAAAATGCATTCTACAGGACAAAAGGAGGCTATGCAGTACAAAGGAGACTACCATGTACTTCTACATTTTTTTGCTTCAGTCATTAGTAGTTCCCTTGGCAGACGTAATAAAGTTTATGATTGTCAGTCTAGGCATATTCCTGTTTGAGATTGGCTGCTTAATTAGTTCCTACCAAATCCTAATGGCTGAATATGATCTAAAAAATACAAAGGAATACCCACCAAAAGTTTGCGAGAACCATTGGATATAAACAGTTCATAAACATGTTAGAAGTTTAGAACATAAACGTGCAGTATTTATTAGTTGATCTTAATTTCAAAAGCATATGAAATACCAGGAAATCGTAGGAACTGTGGTTTTAAATCCACAAGCATGTGTATGAGTTCCTTGCGAAAGCCATGGCCCTGTATATGTACAACAAAATAACGATTAAGGTCTCTTGTAAACTCGTACTTAGAAGCATTAGATAAGATGGATTAAATTATCATTATGATTTATTATTATTATTATTATTTAAGTTTCTAAAATATAAATGCAAACTATTATTATTATTATTATTATTATTATTATTCCAGATCACATCATGCGGTTGGGAGTGTCAGTACCCAATAGGAAGACAGGATAAAAATGCAATTCACCTTGTATGTATCTGAAGGTATGAGCGACACTTGATCGATCCATATGACTCCCCTTTTGGAAGTTGTTAACTCAAGTCTTGAAGTTCTGCACGTTCCTTTAGCTAATAATTGCATCTCTATCTTTCTCCAATCTGACACATTTGTATCTCTGTAAACACACCGTATGTAATCCTTTCAGTCTTAGTGAAAAAATTAACAAATTGAAAATCATCTTATCTCAGTGCTAGGGAAGATATATACACTATGACAGCTGCTGCTATATTTTGCAGTCCATCTGAACATGTGAGTGAAGCAGTCAACTCCACGGATTCTAGTGATCTGATATACATTACCAGATTATAGCTCTTCCCCTCTTCGATGTTCTGGAAGTGGAAATGGTCAGGTGCAGCACAAAACCAGAGGGAAAAAGTGAAAATGCTTCTGAGAAAAAGGATGCATTCCAAGGAAGCGAAGGCACAGCATTAAATGGAGAGCTAAAATTACCCAAGGAAAATATGGATGTGGATTAGAACAGATCAAATTATGTTTCAGTTTTCACTTTTGGGAAGAAAAACATTTGCTACCATTTTTCAGCTAGCAATACTGTAGCCTGTAAACTGTTGACCATCATTTTTTTATATTTATATTTTAATGCTGATGTTCCTGTCCACTTAGTATATTGATGAATAAAACGTACCATGCCCCAGAATCCCGGGTTGTAAATACCAACACCGCCAGCTGGACACTTGGCACAAAGAATTTCCATCCTTAGAGCAACGATATTTCTACTGAAACAAGATGCTCTTTCAGTCTTCACGTATATGGAGGATTCGTCACCAATGATGGACCATGGATCTATATTTGAAGGAGTGTAAGGCCCTCCAGCTTCAAAACCTAATGCACAATTCTGTAACAGTCAGTACATGGCTAAACGTGAAATTTTATCGACATGTTATAAAAGTGAAAGGCCAACAATTTTTTTTGTATTGTTATTGGTAAATACCAACAATTTTATCGACATGATTTGTTTTGTTCTGCAGTGATTGCAGAACTTCCTAGGGAAGAGAAACAAGAAGCAGGAAGGACTGCCAAGTGCCAACTGTCAATATGGAACGGGAATAAATATAGAAGTAACAGAAATCTGTCCTGTTATTGTTCTTTGTACAAAATTTCGTACGATCCAGTTGCGCAAAAAAGGGTACTGTACTCTTTTATACATAACTGACCATTCAGCCTATATGAATCCTTGTTAACAGGGGAATTTGGATATAGGTCAGTGCAAAATTTCAGAGTTCCAAAAAATGCAACTAGGTGTATGTGTAATTGTGTATCACTGCCATGTAAGTCACTGCACGGCTTTTGGAGCTGTGTATCAAGCGCATTTGTCTGTAACGTAGTCCAGAACTTTCTGATAACATGTTCCCAAGAGGTAGTGTACATATAAGAGCTGATAGTTAGTACGTAACAGCAGTACCTCTGTTACTGACAAGCTCCGCCCACAATCCACCAGCTCCAGCGTGGTTGATTTCCTAGAATGAATATTCAGTGAAGGAATATTGTGAAAAAACAAGAATAACCAGGAGAGTTTCGTGTTGGAATTTAAAGGCAATAACTATTAACTGTTAACCAAAAGATGGCATGCACCTCAAAGAACAAGCCAAAGAGGGTTTGAGGGATCTTTCTGGCGGCCTTCCATGATGTATCGACCTCCAGCAGTGCCGTCTGATCCCCCTCCGACTCTGGCGCCAGGCACCCGCAGCTCAACGAGAGAAGAAGCAAGGAGCAGAGGATGGCAAGCAAAGTTGCCGCACCCTTGGTGCCCATCCTCCACTTGCTCCAGCCTGCAGATAAACAGCATCAGCTCAGTTCGCGGATCGATCGAGCATGTAAAATGGCGACAAACAGTAGAACTGTTTCCACAAGAGAACCGAATAATTGGGGGCGCCGGTGAAGGAAAGAAAAGAAAAACCAAGTGGCAAAGGTGAACTCGTTTGGGAAGAATATAGCGGGAAGAAAACATAACACACGAGGGAAACCAAGTGAGCCTCCTCCCTTAGGCATTCCATCGAACACCTCAACCTCTCAGACATGATGCGTATGAACAGTAGTACTGACCGGAGCAGGGAGAAAATGACGCAGACAGAGAGGGGGGTCGCCGTAACGAACAAGATCGGATCATGGAACTGCTCACCTCCGGCCAGCACTCGAGGGCGGAGAGGCAGGATGCCAAGCGCGCGTGAACTGTGATGCCGCGATGGTGTTGGTGGGGTGCTCGGGGAGGAAGAGGAGGTGCCGCTGCTTTAAGTAGCTGCTGCGAGCCCATGACTACGAACGAGGAAGAGAAGAGAGGTGGGTGGGTTTGGTGGGTCCAAGAGAGTGGGACCGCGTGCCACGTGGAGCTTGCAGTCAGTAACTTTGCCCGTATCAGCCGTTGGATGTTGATCCGGCCGCCGAGCGAGTGGCGATGGCCGATGGGCAACGAGCAAACCCTCGGTCGTTGCTTCCCGGGCTAGATTGGACATGTCCCGTTGTGGTTGACTTGTCGGTGTTCGGAGGTGGAATTCAGTCTTGGTTTTACAAAATATTTTTTATGTCAAAAATATTTATTTTTTCAGTCAATAATAAAATCGAACATGGTCGATCACCTGTTCATGCAATTCCCCATAGCTGCTACGCTTGGGGATGGTCAATTGTGCTTTTTAGTTTTGATATGAATTTGACTCCGGTTAGCGAATTTTGTAGTTGAATTTCCAGTTTTCCCCTAGTTTAGCGTGAATTTTGTAATTGGCAAAAGAAAAAACTGAAAAGGCATGTGTTGGATGGAATTCATCCCCACCCAACTAGTCTTTGTTAACATTTTCTAAAATCTTGGACGGACACAACATCGACGATTGCTGTGGGCAACAAATCAATGACAATAAATAACCTTCTTGAGTGAGCTGGCCACGTCGTTGGTGAAGGTAAGGGTGATTAGGTCGAGTGAAGACTGGCGGCCTCAAAGGAGAAGACAACATTTACGAATAGCATCCTAGAAATATTGAAACTGAATTTGTTTTCAGATTTCAAAACCATCAAAACAAAAAAGATGGAGACCCTACCACGAATCGGTTACCTAATTCAGTTGACCCAATTCAATTCCAGCATACAAAAATGCCCTTAAAAACAAGATATCAGGGAGATGTGTGTAGGCACAACATACTTATTCTCGCGCTCTCAAAAGAAGAAATAATCAAAGGAGCTCGTAGAGGTCTACTCACCTTTATTAAGCAAACACATTGGTGAGAGCAATTTTTTTTTTTGCAAAAGTTAATGGGCTGCCATGTATCCTATGCCTATAAATTTCATATAGTAGGAGACACCATCAAGGATTACATCCATCCACATGGTTGCTTCTGGACCACAGTCTCTCTCTCTATGGCCTAGTTTGTAGGAAAAGCCCCACGCCACGTTGCTTGTGTCTTACTTCCATTCCCTTTTGGTAAGAAATAGACGGACAAGAAATGTTGCGGCCCGCTCACAATTGCACCTTTTTGGTTGGCATCTTGCCTCGATTATCATCACCTATTTTTCGAGTCTCATTATTACCACCTATCGGAGCATTTCTTTGTGTATACACTTACATGCATAGTATTCTGTCTCATACTCGATTTGCAGGCCGGAATATCTCCTCAAATCACAAGAAAGGAAAACGAATATAGCCATTTGTGGGTGGTAGAGTGAGGAGCAACAATGTGCGTCGTCACATGCAACGCGATGAGATGGATACACTACACACACCGATGATGAAACTTGGAAAGGCTAGCTATAGCTGACTACAGGTCCATTGCTTGCTGCGATGGCTCACTGGTTAGTTATGTTGGTCTAAAAGAAGCTTGAAAGGAAAGGGCCACTATGGCAAGATAGCGTGACTCACCGACGCGTAGTAGTTTGGCAGTTCCTCTTCTGTGGTGCTAGGCTGCTAGCCACGTGTTGGGCAAGTGATCTCTTTGGCTTTTCCCGACGGTCAGAAGTGCCATTTCTCTGAAATACCGGGGCAGTTTTAAGGCCGATCGTAATGTATTCCCTCCGTAAACTAATATAAGAGCATTTAGAATACTAAAATAGTGATTTAAACGTTCTTATATTAGTTTACAGAGGAGTAAATCCAAAAGTACACATGGTTTCAGTATGAGCGTGAAGAACACTCCATGATACTCGCGTGGTGAGCGTGGTGGTCAAATACAGAATCAAATCGAAAATAAAAATATATGCAATCAATCTTCCAACACCTCACATCTTCATCTGCCATCTTCGACACATACACAAGACGGAATCCCTCTCAGGCAATGGCTTCCTTCTCCTGCTCCTCTAGTAGCGTGATGGGCGTGATCTTGCTGCTCTTCTCCGTCCTCCTTGCGCCTGCGCGGTCGGCCAGCGACCAGATGATACTTGCCGCATGCAAGACCGTCGGCGGCGGGAGCACCTACTTCGACGTCACGTTCTGCTTGGAGGCCCTCGGCTCCGCGGGCGGCTCCGGCGGCTACCAAGACCTCGCGGCCGTCGCCGTGGACCTCCTCGCGACCAACGCCACCAGCACGGAGGCCAAGATCGACCGCCTGCTCGGGTGCGGCGGCGTGGAGGTCAAGGCGGATGACGCCGCCCTGGCGCGGTGCCTCCGGTCGTGCCAGTCGCTGTACGGCGGCATAGTGGACGACGGGCCTGCGTGCACCGCCGCGGTCAAGGGCGGGAGGTTCGGCGAGGCGACAGCGATCCTGGAGAAAGCCGCGGCCGCGGCGAAGGAGTGCGAGGGCGGGTTCGAGAAGAGGAGAGCGGCTTCGCCGCTGACGGCGGAGGACGACGACGCGTTCAAGCTCGCAAAACTCGCCGTCGCGTTGCTCCGTTTTGCTTGAGAGCCCGGAAACGGACATTGCTGCTACCGATGTTTCGATTTTTTTTTCTTTTCTTGAATATTTCGTATATTGCATACCTTTTCTTTAGGGTAGCATAATAACCTTCTTGATTAGTTGTTCTATTTATAACCGTGTCATGTGATCTGTGATCTGCGTTGTTGGTTAGATCATGTACCGATGATCCTACGTGTCGTCTGTTGTCAAACAGTCAGGGCGAAAATGTGAATTGAGGACTGCAGACCCTCTCGCAATAGTTTGAATTGCACGGTCCGGACAATTTTACCATCTAACGCGATCATGTATCGGTTCACTCGACGGACGTCACTTTTAAGTAAGGGGGGACTTTATGGATGTTCAGACTGCTGGCACGCAAGGGTCTGACAACCCCGGCCCACCCAAAACCTCTCCATTTACCTGCTCTTTCCCGCCCAAAGCGATCAGTGCCACATTCATGCTAGCCCAGAGCGGATGTGACCTCTCACGTTGCTTCGGCATTAAAGCGGTGCGCCGGCCGACTGCTCCATTCAAACAACGGCGCGTTCGTCTGCCGCCCACATTAACCACCTCGTTACCTACCTAGCCATTCGCTTCCAATCTCCTCTCAGCACCACGACTACCATGGCCTCCTCGAGCTCTAAAGCCTTCTCGGACAGCCTCTTGTCCGAGCAGAAAAAGAAGATCGCCACCATTGCAGCCTGCTGGCAGGATGACAGACGGACAAGCTCATCGGAGGTTAGTGTTGCAGACGCCCTAATGGAAGAGGCGGTCAACGAGCAGGCGCTAAGGTCATTGCTGGTTGATGCTGGTGTGACGCTCCCGATTTGACCGTACACTAATCATACACGCAAACGTGTACGATCAAGATCAGGGACTCACGGAAAGATATCACAACACAACTCTACAAATAAAATAAGTCATACAAACATCATATTACAAGCAGGAGCCTCGAGGGCTCGAATACAAGAGCTCGGTTATAGATGAGTCAGCGGAAGCAACAATATCTAAGTATAGACATAAATTAAACAAGTTGTCATAAAATGGCTAGCACAAACTGGGATACATATCGAAAGAGGCGCGGGCCTCCTGCCTGGGATCCTCCTAAACTATTCCTGGTCGTCGACAGCGGCCTGCACATGGTAGTAGGCACCTCCAGTGTAGTAATAGTCGTCGGCGGTGGCGTCTGGCTCCTAGGCTCAAACATCTGGTCGCAACAACCGGGTATAAAAAGGGGGAAAATGGGGAGCAAAGCAACCGTGAGTACTCATCCAAAGTACTCGTAAGCAAGGAGCTACACTACATATGCATTGGTATCAATGAAATGGATAGTATATGTGAACTGAACTGCAGAATGCCAGAATAAGAGGGGGATATCTAGTCCTATCGAAGACTACGCTTCTGACAGCCTTCATTTTGAAGCAGAAGAAGAGAGTAGATGGTAAGTTAACAAAGTATCACCGCATAGCATAAGCCTACCCGGCGATCCTCCCCTCGTCGCCCTGTGAGAGAGCGATCACTGGGTTGTATCTGGCACTTGGAAGGGTGTGTTTTATTAAGTATCCGGTTCTAGTTTTCATAAGGTCAAGGTACAACTCCGGGTCGTTCTTTTACCGAGGGACGCGACTATTCGAATAGATCAATTTCCCTGCAGGGGTGCACCACATTTCCCAACACGCTCGATCCCCTTTGGCTGGACACACTTTCCTGGGTCATGCCCTGCCTCGAAAGATCAACACGTTGCAGCCCCACCTAGGCACAACAGAGAGGTCAGCACGCCAGTGTAAATCCTATGGCGCAGGGGTCTGGGCCCATCGCCCATTGCACACCTGCCCGTTGCGAACGCGGACGGAAACAGACCTAGCCTCCCTAATACAAGAGCAGGCGTCCCAGTCCAATCCGACGCGCACTGCTCAGTCGCTGACGTCAAGAAGGCTTCGGCTGATACCATGACGTCGAGTGCCCATAATTGTTCCCGCGTAGTTGGTTAGTGCGTATAGGCCAGTGGCCAGACTCAGATCAAATACCCAGATCTCGTTAAGCGTGTTAATTGAATTAACCGCGGACGCCGACTAAGGCCAGGCCCACCTCTCTCCTAGGTGGTCTCAACCTACCCTGTCGCTCCGCCATAAAGGTTCGTTCAGAGGGCCGTCAGGACAAACGTCCTTTTGGTCCCAATCCGTGAATCACTTGCGGGTACTCTACGAGTCGACCCGACTTTAGTCATCACATATATCATGTATTATGTATATAAGTATATACCCGTGATCACCTCCCGAGTGACCACGTCCCGATAGCATGGCAGATGGACAAGAATGTAGGGCCACTAATGGAATACTAGCATCCTATACTAAGCATTTAGGATTGCAGGTAAAGGTAACAGCAATAGTAGCAAGGACAGGCTATACATCAGAATAGGATTAACGGAAAGCAGTAACATGCTACACTATTCTAAAGCAAGCAGTAGAGAGAAGAATAGGCGATATCTGGTGATCAAGGGGGGGGGGCTTGCCTGGAAGCTCTGCTGAAAAGGAAAAAGTGTCGTCGGTGACGTAGTCGATCACAGGGGCATCATCGATCTCGGGGTCTACCGGAGAGAAGAGGGGAAAGAAACAGTAAATACAGAGCAAACATAGATACCACTAAGCATGACATGACGAAAAGTAGAAGTGGGGTCGACCTAACACAGTACTGCACGATATAGGTGAAGGGGGAATTCAACCGGGAATGTTTTCCCGGTTTCGGACGTGTGTCAGACAAACGACCGAAGGGGGAATGTTCCATGTTCAGATTGTTAGAGGCATCTGATAGGTAAACGGATTGCGTATTCGAATTCGTCACGCCGTTCTGAATAACTTTCATGTATAAAAATTTTCCATCCGAGATACGGTTTATTTTCTATGATTTTTCAAAGCTTTAAACAATTATCTTGAAAATTGGCCAAGTCTGAGAATCACTCAGTTTTAACACCATTTAACTGTTTTTCGAAGGCTATAACTGTAGTTCTGTGCATCCTATGGCTTAGTACCCTTCACCAATTTTTATCATCTTTCTGTGATCTACATGATAGTATTGTTGACATCCATGTTAGAGTTCAGTTGCTTGATCAAAACTGCATTTGAAAAGCGCCACTTGAAGTTAATTCCAAAAACTGTTAAAATGTACGAACATAGAATTTTGTGATTTTCATAGGATTTAATCCTTACATCTTTTGAATTTGGTCCAATGAGATGTTTTGAACCTTGTCAAGTGTACTACCTGCCTATAATATTTTTGCTCCTGTTAGCAGTTGTTTAGTCATTGTTTAGGGACAGTCCAAGGGGTTACTCAACGTAATATTAGAAAAGCTAGCTAGCAGCTATAGTAAGCATCAGTTAACATCGACAACAGCATACGAGTAGCAAGCAGTAGCAGCAGATAACAGGTAGGCACGCCGGCGCGTGCGCACGCGCAAGGCACGACCAGCGCGGGGAGAGGCGGCGCGGGGAGCAGGACGGGGCGGCGCGGCGCTTGGCAGCGAGCGGCGCGTGCGTGGCAGGCAGCAGCGGGCGACGCAAGGCGGCGAAGGCAACAGCGAGTAGCGGTAGCGGCGCTAGAGGCCACGACAGCAGCAACCGAAGTGTGACGCCTGAATAATTAAGCTACAGTAAATTTCTGTTAATGATGTCACGTCACCATGATTATTATTTCTAATTTTACGTTAGTTCAAAACCGATTTAAATTTAAATTCAAAATCAAGTCAAACAGTAAAAGTTTTTCAAACATTAAAACTAAAATGTTTAGGTTGTGTCAAATAATGCATAGGTATTTATGATGAAGAAATCACACTTTTATAAAATGTTAGAGTACTCTAAAATGATTTAAACAATAGTTGAAACAATTATTTAAACGTCTCTTAATGATTAAATTATTGAAAACCACTTTTTATAACTACAAAAATAATTAAGGGGGTGGTATAACTACTATTACTAATTTAGATGCTAACTATATGATTTAAAAAAACTAACTAAAACAATTTGAAAGATCCAATAAACAGAAAAGAAATTGAAAAATAAAAAGAAAAGACAAAAAAATATAACTCGCGACCCAACTGGGCCACGGCCCAACTGGCCGCACAGCCAGCCGGGCCACCTAACCCCTATACCCCCTGGTCCACCCCCGCAAACCCTAAACCGCACCCACTCACCCCCACGTCGCTAATCCCCTCCTCCCGATCCAGAATTGGATCGGGGCTCGACGACCTGATGCCACTAGACCTCGCTGTCGCCCTATGCCGCCCGCCGACGCCGCACGGAGCCTGCGTCGCTCGCGTCCTCATCGGAGCTGGCCTGCCGACCCCGACCTCGCCGTGGCCTCCTCGTCCCCTCCCCGCATCACTACCTCGCGCCTCGCCGACCCTCTGAACCCCTGCAATGCCCGTGAGCCGCCGCCCTTCCCTCCTCCCCTTCTCCGTCTCGCGCTCCGCTTCCTCCTGCTGCTCCTTCGCCGCGCTACCGCACTCGCCCCGTCCCTGCTCGCCGTTGCCCCGGCGCGGCTTTGCCCTGCCGCCAGCAGCTGCTCCCCGCGCCCTCCTGACCACGCGTGCGCACCCCCGCAGCCCAGCGCTCGCCCGCTGCCGCCAGTCGCCTGCCTGCGCGTGGCCGCCCCTCCCCCAGTCGCGGCCTCGCTCATCCCGGTTGGCGCCCGCCGCCTCGTGCCCGCCGCAGTCCCGAGCTCCACCACCGCCCCGCTCACTGACGCGCCGCCACTGCCCTCACGCACCGGCTCCGCCCCTGCCCCGCTTTGCGCTGGCCTCGCCGTGCCATTGCCTCTCGCCGGCGACTGCCCCGCGCAGTGGCCTCGTGCTCGCCACCGCCCCTCTGCTTGCCTCCAGTCGCCGCCCGTCGGAGCCACGCGCCGGCGCCCGACAGCTTCCTCCGCCACGGCGCATGGCCCCGGCCGCGCCCGGTGGCCTCGTCCGCACCATCGCGCCCGTTCGGGCTATGCCCGTTGCCCGCACACCCGCT